ATTATAAATTGAACAAAGTTGTACAATTAGCATAAGCAAGTATTGTATATTATATCTCAATGAACCAGATTCTTGTCAACTTAAAATAAGTGTCATGAATTTCCGTTACTTTTTTAAAAAAAAGAACCTTCAAAACAAGAGGATTCTGAATAAAGTAAATCAAGTTTTAATTAATTTTAGTAAGACCTTGGAGGACTCCCTACTACTTCTACAGTGACCCATTTGTATGTGTATAATGGAGACTGCTAAAAAAGGTCAATTCAAAACCTTCATTGAAAATACGTAATTTTGTCTGGAATTTGCATAGTGCAAAATTGCTCTTTTTTAAAAAAAAACATAGAAAATAGTTTGATGGATTTGAATTCAGTTGTAGGTTGCAATAATAATAATCCTTGCATTTGATATAACGCCTTATCGCATCTTCCAGACGTCTCAAAGCGCTTCACAGAATATACTGTAAAGTGAATTGACTGTATATTTTGTGGGTGAAATGCGGCAGCCAATTGCACACAGCAGCGTCCCACAAACAGTCGTGGATTGAGTGACCAAATTGTTATTTATTTATTTATTAAAAATTGAACGGATTATTACCGCTGGAGAAGAGATCCGCCAATTGACTAACAACTGGGTTCCTACTTACTACTGGGTAAACAGAGGGGTGTGGAGTAAAGACACTTACCCAATGTTTCACCCTGCCTGGGAATCAAACCCAGATCCTTTGCTTGCGAGACGAGAGCTCTAACCACTAAGCTGCAGGACTTCACCTTTTTTAAGCTTCTCAAATAGCTGCCGCCTTGGTAAAATATGTTTTAAATCCCTTCCGAGTCAATAAAATGGCTTCTGATTCGCTTAAGTTGCCTGCCTGGCCTGTCTACATGATCCAGGAATAAAAGTAACATTCCGCAGGTTATGTTTATCCATCATCCCTGTTGCTCCAATTGGCATTGTAGCCTTCATTGATGGTGATTGTTATTTGGATAAACCTGCCAATTAAGACGGTTGTGCATCAATGAAAATTTGACTCATCATAATAGTCGGGTCAAAAGTAAAATGATAGAAAGTGGGTCTTATTCAAGTGTTAACGCTTAATTGCTCCGCAACATTGCCAGACTCCGCCATTACTTCACTCCTCAGGCTGCCGAAACTCCATGCATTTGTCACATCAAGGCTCAATTATGGAAACTCCCCTCTCATCGGCCTTCCCAACTTTTCCCTTCACAAGCTGCAGATCATCCAAAACTCTGCAGCTCGTGCACTCTCGCACACCAGGCTCCGCGACCCCATCACTCCCACCCTCGCCCGACTCCACTGGCTCCCCATCCCCCAGAGGATCGAGTTCAAGATCCTTGTCCTCACTTTCAAGGCCATCCATGTTCTTGCCCCCTCCTACCTCTCTGACCTGCTGACTCCCTGCGAACCTGCTCGCTCCCTCCATTCAGCGGGCTCCGGCCTGCTCCATATCTCCTGCCCGACCCGCCCTACCATCAGTGGCTAGGGTTTCAGCCTCTCTGCCTCCACACTCTGAAACTCCATCCCACAGTCCCTTCGCCTCGCTTCCTCCCTTACCTCCTTCAAGGCCGGTCTCAAGACCCTCCTCTTCGATTGTGCCTTCAGTCACCCTCCTACCTCTCTGCCTTCCCTCACCCCTACTTCACTCCTCCCCCATGCTCAGGTCCTGACCCCTGACTGTCCAGCTCCTTGGGACATCCTCCCGACGTGAAAGGAGCTCTGTAAATTTAATGTTGTTGTTGTTGTTATTAATTAAAGTCCCCAAGCACTTGCATTTCCTCTCCTTGTATTTTTTGTTCATAGAAAATGTGCATACAAGATTCTTAATGTAAGATTCTTAGTGTAATCACTCCATCTCGCCCCCTCCTTAGCCTCCTTCAAGTCCTGCCTCAAAACCCTCCTCTTCGACCACGCCATCGGTCATTCCCCTTCCCTCCCTTCTCCCCCCCCTGACCCCAGCTCGGGTCTGAAATGCTGTACACTGTCCAGAGCCTTGGGACGCCCTCCCGATGTGAAAGGCGCTATACAGGTGTAATCTTGTTGTTGTTAATGGTAGGACGTTAGGTGTTGCATTCTAGAATTAATAAAATTTTGAGAGACTTCAATTTTTATAGCGCCTTATATGGAAACATCAATTCATAGCTCTTTACTGTCAAGTGTACTGACAATTTTACAAGCACATGTTAGCCATTTGCAGACAGCAAAGTCTCCTTCATGAGGTGAATCACCTATTCTTTTGGGGGATTCTTGGTTAAAACAGCCCTTTTGAATAGTCATGGAATTGTTAAAGTGCATCTGAACAGGTTTCATGCTTAATCTGAAAAATGGTACCTCCAACAATATAGTACTCCCTCAATACTATACTGGAATATCAACCTATACATGGGATTCAAACAGACAACCTCTGACCTAAGGCAAAAGTGCTACCAATTGACCTAAACTGACACCTGTTTTCCCTGTTTCCTAACAGCTGATGTACAAGAAGGAAACCTCTACATTTGAGTATCCTCAAAAGTTACCTAGTGTTTAATTTGTGGGTGTTCCCATCACAACTTAATGGAAACATTTTAACATCATCTTGATTCATCTGAATTCTCTAAAATCTCATTCGAGGCACTGATGTAATCGTAAAAAAAATTGTAAATAAAAATATTTTTTTTCAATTTTTTTACCTGAAAGATATTCAGCAGCCTTTTGCGCCTGTTTCATGATCTCAGACTGCTACCTCAAATAAGGCATTATTTGTTGTCTTTTTAAAAAATCTAATTTATAATCCGAACCTGTGGAATTCCGTCCTTCAATCCCTTCTCCTTGCTCCCTCTCTACCATTCAGGTCCAGCTTGAAGACCTTCTTCTTGGACTGTGCCTATGGTCACCTTTCCCTTCCCACTGGCTCGGCATCGGGCTCCGCCACTGTTAAGCACTCTGAGGCGCCATTCGGCATGAAGGGCCATGTATAAATGCAATTTGTTGTTATAATTAGCATTCATTGTATGGATTGATTATACAGAAATACAGGTGGAGTCCTGTAGCATAGTGCCCGGGCAGGGCAAAACCTCAGGCAAGTTTCCTTACTCCACACGCCTCCATTTACCCAGCAGGAAGTTGGAATTCAGTTGTTAGTCGATTGGTGAATCGCTTTCTGGGGGTAATAATCCTCCCCTCCCCATCAAAGAAAATCCACTGAATCCATGATTGTTTGTGGGACACTGGTGTGTGCAATTGGCTGCTACGTTTTGCCTACAAAGTAAACAATCAACTTTACAATATATTCTGTGAGGTGCTTTGAGATGTCTCGACGTGATAAGGCGCTATAATGCAAGGATTATTATTTATTATAGAATTGTTTCAGCTCTGTATTGGTGCACCTGAGATCTACAATAATCCAGGTTTTGGAGTTATCTATGATTTAACAATAACATGAATGTCCTTTAAATGGAGTTTCCGCTTGCATTGTGCTTTGTAATGTAATGGGGAGCTAAAAAGTGCTGCACAGAAAGCACCAAGATTTCTAGCATGTCACTGGCAGAAAACGTGCCTTGTCCAAAAAATGTGTGAAGAAGGAAACATTGTGTGCATCTCACTGCCTCATGAGACCTCAGATCCAAGGAGTTGTGTTGGAGCCTAGGTTTCATGTATTAGCATACATGAGGTTCTTCGATACATTTTCCGTTGTGAGTTGTTTTTTCTCAATGCACTGGGTGCCAGTAATATAACTGCCCTTGTGAGAAGCACTTTCAACCCTAGTAGCAATAATATGTTTTTTTTAATGTCCCTGCTTGAATACCATTCTGTCAATTATTATTTTACCTTTTCAGTTTACCAAGAACAATGATTGTAAATCTCTTTTAATGACAGTTTGCACAGATAAGTTTAATAATTACATTTCTTTTAAAATGCCAACAACATCCAGACAAAATGTTAATTTCTGATTTGCAACATAAAAAAATTGTACCAAGAACTGAAATGAATGACTAGAATAATTTTCTAATCAATGACTATTAACTACATATGAAGAAGAAATATAATTTTGCTTTATTGTAATATAAAGAGTTGACTGAAAATGCCTTGATCCACTGAGAATGTGTTCTTCAAATAGGACCTGAATTTGATTTGAGTGAAACACACCTTGAAAACCATAATGGAAATAATTGGTACATACAAACCATGCAATTTCTTAGCCATGTAACTTATTAACTCATTCAGAACTCTGCCGTCTGCATTCTCACCCGCACCAAACTCCGCTCCCCGATCACCCCAGTCCTTGCCAGACTGCACAGGCTGCCTATCCCAGAGAGGATCGACTTCAAGATCCTCACCCTCGTATTCAAGTCCCTGAACTCCTCTGCACCCCCCTACCTCTCTGACCTCCTCTCTCCTCAAAACAGCACCCTTCGTTCCTCCGAGTCTGGCCTCCTCCTTGTCACCGAGTCCTCCGCTCCACCCTCGGCGGCCGTGCCTTCAGCCACTATACCCCGAGGCTCTGGAACTGCCTTCCTCACTCCCTTCGTCTCGCTCCTTCCCTTCCCATATTCAGGTCTCTGCTGAAGACCTTTCTTTTCGACTGCGCCTTTGGTCACCTTCCCCACCCTCCCCCTGGCTCGGTCCCGGGATCCGAATCTGTAAAGCTCTCTGAGATGCCGTCCATCGTGGAAGGTGCTATATAAATCCAAGTTGTTGTTGTTGTTAATGTTTGAAATCAGTTTTTTTTCAGGAATATTGTTCTCATGGGAGAGTAGAATTTGTTTGGCAGGAGAGTGCTTTCAAGCTTACAGGGGTACTGATGGAAGGCGAACTGTACAATGTTATTTCACTTGTGCAGAAAATTTTAAAATGTACGTGGATAATAGTCAAGTATACAATAAGGCTTAAGGTTTAAGTGACACTTAATAATTTAATGCTCTTAATATATTCATGTGATCTGTGTTTATTGAGGAGCATGTCTTTTTCATCTTTTTGAAATAAAATGTTCTTTGTACTTTGGTCTGCAGGGTTCCTGCTGCTAAACAAGAACAGAAGAACTGGGAGCTGTCAGTGGAGATACATGATTCGGTGCATTCCGTTACTGTCTCAAAATCAGGGTCATCAAACATTGTGAGCTTTAAACCATATCTACGCCTTTCAAATCTGGTGTAAAGCTGTTGCCAACAAGCATAATTGATTGCCTTCAGTGTTGGTTTAATAGCAGTGCACAATGAAATGCAGGTTATTGCAGAAAAAATGTCAGTATTGGGATATGAAATGCAATATTTGATTCAGAAAGTTGTGACTCCTGTCTAGATGGATATGAGTCACACCAACCCTTTGAGAACTCTGCTCTGATGCAGGTTACTACAAGGGGTGTGATGTTTCCCGAAAGCCAGACACCCCGATAGGTGCTAAGAGTTTTTTGTTTGCCACTTGCTGTTGTGATATTGTATACTGGGTTTTCATCACAGTTGCGACTAATTTTAGCATAAAATATAGTTCTCTATGTTCAAATAAATGTAAACATACCATTCGTGTTGCTTTCGTGTGATACAAATCCTTTGGCTTTATGTATTCCATTGCGTCATTTGCAAAGCCCCTTTTAAAGTTTGTAATGGGAAAATTGGTTTAACAAGATAAAAATTACCTAAAAACTCCAACTAGCAAAATATAAAAGTGGCTAACTCAGGGCAGGATTTGTGTCACTGTGGCCAAATATTACTTGGGTAATTGACTTGACATGAGTTGAGAAAACTAATGTAGGAAACCTCTTTTAAGATGAGATTCACTCACATGGATTTAATTAGTGGGTCATGCTGCCAAGATGTCCATGTGCTGCTACAGATTTCTCATTTCAATCACCCATAACTAGAAATACCTCACATCAAATGCGTTTCTTCAAAGGAGGTTTTAGGGTTCAGAATTTTACTGGTGTTTTGATGTTTAATTCCTTTTTACACAACAAGCCCTTGTTTGCTCAACTGGTTTTATAGCAAAACCGTCTTTTTGGTTTGGTCTTGGAAGATACTCCTGTAACAATGCCAGCTATTTGTTCGTGTTTTACGTTTGTGGATTAGCTCAAAGCACCAAATGTTAAAAACAACCCATGCTGCCTCATTAATCTAGTTACTGTGAATATGAAAAATCATTCCTGTGTTCTGATGTTCACCACTTTATTTATGAATTGCAGAGTATATTTTCTTTCAAATACAAACAGAGAAACGTAGAGTTTTCAAGTTCTTAGTATTTTGAATTGAAGAACCTGCACATTTAGTTATGCAAAATCCCTACGTTTTGTTGAGCACCTTCAGTGCAAATTCTTCCTCATCAATGAATTGTTGTGACTGACTAGCCGAGCATCCTAATGGAGATGGAATACGATGGATTCGTTAGGTTGGAATTTTGCATATGTGCATATTATACATTTCTCCACAACCTTGATACATCAAAGGCCATTTTTTTGTATAATGCGTCTGTTATTTTATATTGTCGTTAACAGCCATTCAGTTCTGTTATGCACACTGAGGATAATTTCTTCAATGTACCTCAATTTAGTAATTCCAGTTCTTCATGATCTTTTTGAAAAGTTTACTGCAAATATTTAACGTGTTTCGTACAAATTCAATTCACGCATGCAACCTCAAATTTTAGTTTTAGAATCTGGTTTGTTATCATGTTAAAGAGATCCATTAAGATGAATATTTGTTGGTCTTGTCACCAGTTGTAATTGCCTCTAATTGCTGCCAATTTGTTATCAGAAGAATTATCTTCTGATCCTTTCTGAAGTGCCAAGAATTGCAATGTCACCCAACGTTGTCTAGGTTTATGGAATTTAAGGTCTTGTTCCAAGGCTCTCTACTTGAAATGGTGGAAAGTGATGTTGGGGTATGGCTAGGTACAACCAAGGCTTTAGAGTGCAGCAACAGTATGAGATGCAACAAGCTGATGTTCTAAGTCAGACCCAGGATCAAACTTGGACATCAAAAGACAATTTTCATCTAAACCTTTAGCTGAGTTTTATTTGCATTGCCTTGCTGGAACAGGGAGTAGATATTGTGCTCCTCTGGGATTCTCACATCCTCTTCCAGCAGTTCTCTAAACCTTTGATGCCAACTAGTGTCTGAAAAGCATTGCTGCCACCCAGTGGTTTGCTAAGAGAAACTCAACCCCAGCATTGGTCTCATTTGGTAGTACTCTTGCCTCTCTATTCCATGGCACTGCTGATGACAGCACAGCCAGCCTGGCTCGTCAGCAGAACCTGGAAGGGCAGAACCATCACTGGAGGTAGGGAGTCATCCCACTCAGCTCCTGTTAATCCTGCAAGCCAAAGCCCTAATGGGTAGGGCTTTCCTAGCTGGACAAGCAGTGGAAAAGCTTGCCAGATAACGATATTAATGGCAACCTATGCGATTTTAACTAGTTAGACGCCTGCAGTACCCCAACGCACACTTTGGGATCCCTAAGCCTTGGCTCTTGCCAACCTGTGCCTAATTCTGTAATGAGGTAAGCCGGATGTATCCCTCCAGGGAGAGTGCGCATTCCATTCTAACGATCTATCTCTGGGATTTCCATGTGTAGGTGGGATGCATGGAAATCTCAGCTTTGTTTGGATACTCTTAAGCATGGTGATGGTTTTCTGCATGTGTCAGACACCCAGCTGACCAAAATAAAATTATTCCGAAGGTTATGGATTCTAGTACTGTGTTAGGATTGAGCTCATGTTCAAATGCAGTTTTTTAGATTTTCAATGAAGCTTTAAACAGAATATCATCAAACCTCCTCTGAAATATTTGTTAGCCCTTACTCTTATGATATTGTGTGATTTTTCTTTGACTATCTTAATGACCTCTAAATTGGTCTTTTTTTAATTCACGTGGATCCTGCCTTTAGCCATAACTGCACTGGCCTTGGAGGATCTGACCAATTACAGAGTGGGGTGGAGATCTTAAACTTCTTCATTTTAAAGTTCAAGATCACGAGTAGGTGAAAGAGATGGCTTGGTGGCAACAGCATGTTCAAAGAGTTTGGTAAAGAATGAAAGGCAAGAGTGGATATTCATGAAAAATGAATAGTTGGACATCCTGTACCCTACTCTTTTGAACCTTAGTGGCACTCTTAGTAATATAGTACAGTTTGGTCTACTCATCCAGAATCTGGAGTTCTTTCAGTTTCCATGAACTTGTTTAATTCTATTTTAAAATTGTTTAGTTATCTTCACTGTGTTTTTCAATTCTTTTAAAAAACAAATTCTGACTGCTCAAGATTTGTTTCAGTACTATGAAATGTAATTCAATTCAAAATGGTAAGCTTTTAGAGTGGGAGTCAAGATGATCACTTGAATTTAAATGGTGCTGATGGAGTTTGTAAAGTTCTCATGAAACCACTGCAGCTAAATCGGTTTGGTCATGTCACTGATGTATTTCCTTTAATCCAAGATTTCTTCAGGTATACTTTGTTTTACTCCAAATTGGCCATGTTTCTTTTTCTGCATCCCTTAGTAGGAGACTGAATTGCCAGCATGAGTGTATATTGTGAGTGAGGTGAAATGGAAGATTTCTCTTGGGAGTGAACTTTGATGTGTCTTTTCTCACTTCCTCTCTTTGTATATCTATGTAAGTCAAGATCAAATTCAACGCATCCAATCCTTAACATGGTGATCGGAAGAGAAAATGTATTCTGGAGAGTGCATCTGCAGTCTCCCTCCTCATCTCTTGTTCTGATAACAGATTTCCTATTGTTATTGTGACTCTATATGGACCGAGCTATACACCTCCATACATCAATAGGCTCAAATTGCTAAACTCAGTCTGCTGTTCATCAGGGAATGTATTTCGGGAAAATCGATAGAAGACTGATCAGACAGCACCACAGTTGTGAGTTATATGAAGAAATTTCTTGGTCCATTTTCTCTAACCCACTAGAATACCCACTAAACAGAATGCCATGGGCCCCTCAATTCAACACCTTGCCAGAGACTCAGAATTTCTTGATTGATGGATTTCCAAATGACACACAATGGCCCAAGTTACCTCTGACAAGCAGTGTTTCTTGGGGTAGACCTCACGGCGACCTACCAGAACAAGAGGTTACAAAGGCTCTGATGCAGGAGTTAAGACAGCTGGACCGTAACCTTCAACTCAATGTTCCTCTGGAACAAAAACTTCCTGTATGCTTCCTTCTGTTTCCCCTCATTCCCCAGGGCCACTAGCAACATTTAGTCAGAGGAAACAACAGTGATTCTGGTAATTCCCCATCAGACAAAAGAAAAATTGGTTATTGGAACTTTTCACCCTGAGCATCAAACCTTTTTGAATTCCTTACAGACAGGATTTGTTAACATAGATAGAGAGTGAGATATGGCACATGACCCACAGAACCTCCAATTGACAGCATATTTCTTAAGAGGACTAGTGTAACCAAGCGGGGCTTCTTACCCCCAGCAATTAAAATGCTTGTGGTGTCTAGGAAAGCCTGCAACTTGAGACATACAATGCCAAAAGAAAGATGTTTACCCTCTGGCACTGAGACCACAATTGTACCTTCTGGGATGTGATATTTTACCCACCTTGTCGTACCTGCAAATGTTACTAGATCAGGGACTATTATCCAGTTTCCTGAGTGTGAAACAGCTGTAGAAGCTTATCACCTGCTGTTGGCAGAATCTCCACGTGGAGAACACCCTATGGTGCACAGATTCCTGAAAGGCACCTGGAAGCCATTCATTCGTTAGTTAAGTCCCACCTGGGACTTGAATTTGGTTCTGCATGAGCTGATGTCAAAACTGTTTGAAAACATGACTTTGTGTTATGTTAATTTTCTTACATTTAAAATGTCTTCTTTTGTCTTTCCCTCTTTTTGTGATAGAGTCAAAGTGAGCTGCCTGCTTTGGTGGCAAATTCACTGTAGCTTGTTTGCCATTTGAATGGAGTAGTTATTAAATGACTAATCCACTGGTGTTAAAGATAATGAAAGGGTTTGGGGAGGACAAATGGTGAGGAACTATTTCCGCTGATAAGTGATTTAAGGACAAGAGGGCATGAATTTAAGATTATAACTGGGAACTAAAAGGGGAAGTTAGGAAGGAAAACAATCTACCTCAGGGTTGTCAATGTGGAATGAATTGCCAG